TTCTCTCTTCCACCCTCTCCCCATACGCACACTCACAGCCTCCCCCACTAGAGTAGTTACAACTCAGGAACCTACACGTCATTATCACCCATAGTTTCTATCGGCATTCACCCTCGGTCTTGTACATGCTATGGGTCTGGACAAATGTATAATGACAGGAGTCACCGTGACCACTCTGGCATCATGCCAGTGTGTCACTGCCCTAGAAGTTCTCTGCGCTTCACCATCCTCCCTCCCCGCCAGCTCCTGGAAACCACTGATCTTGTCATTGTCTCCGTGGTTTTGTATTTTCCAGAGTGCCTTGGAGTTGGAATTCCACAGGGTGCAGCTTTCACACTGGGTCCCTTCCCTTAGCAAACCTCTTCTAAGATGCAGTGACGCTCCCTCGTGTTGCCTCACAGCTTGACAGCTCATTTCTTTCTAACGATGAATAATATATTCCCTTGTCTAGCTGCATCACAGTTATTTTTATTTTATTTTTTTTTGAGACGGAGTCTTGCTCTTGTTGCCCAGGCTGGAGTGCAGTGGTGCCATCTTGGCTCATTGCAATCTCTGCCTCCCCCAGGTTCAAGCGATTCTCCTGCCTCAGCCTCCTGAGTAGCTGAGATTACAGGCATATTCTACAACACCTGGCTAATTTTTGTATTTTTAGTTGAGACGGGGTTTCACCACATTGGCCAGGCTGGTCTCAACTCCTGACCTAGTGATCTGCCCACCTCGGCCTCCCAAAGTGCTGGGATGATAGGTGTGAGCCACCGTGTCTGGCTGCACCACTGTCATTTAAACTTATGAGTACATTCACTACCAAAGGACATCTTGGTGGCTTACAAGTTTTGGCAGTTATGGGGGACCACCAGAGGGTGGCATTCTTTCCGGCCTCGTCTCCCATCCTCAGCAGCACACAACACACCCTGCTCACTCTTCCAATATCCTCCAATACCTGCACGTCCCTCCCGGCACACTGTGTCCTGCTCAGTCTAAAGGGCAGACCAAGGTCTCCAGAAACCAGACATAACACAGAGACTCGCTTTTGTAGCCACGGGTGGAAGGCCCCATCCCCACTGCTGTGGCCAGGGAAGGCTGGTCAGTTGGAGGGCCAGAGCCAATTTCTAACCAGGCAAGAGTCCCGGACACCGGGGCCCCCACATGCCTCCCCCAGCAATGTGCCTCCAGGCAGAAGTTGTCTTAAACCCTCTCACAACCCCTTAGGGGCAAATTATTTGCATTAATTAATTGATAGATTCATGAATTCAAGACACTGGCTTGGGACCTACAGCTGGGTTCCCATCGACTTTTTGTTCAGCCAACTCGAAAGGCTCAGGGCAAAGAAAAGAGGAAGGTTAGCGGTCTGGGTATTTTAAATAGTGGTCAGATCTGGTCCTGGTGTCCCAACCTTGAGAACCACCGCTCAATATGTTTGAAGGTTGCTTCCTCCCCGTCAAGCTTTTCCTGAGAGCCCGAGTATCCTGCATGTGTCCATGTGTCAATGATCTATTGCTGTGAAATAAACCACCCCCAGATTTAGCAACTTAAAGCAACTGCCAGGCCGGGCGTGGTAGCTCACGCGGGTAATCCCAGCACTTTGGGAGGCCAAGGCGGATGGATCGCTTGAGCTCAACAGTTCGAGACCAGCCTGGGCAACATGGCAAAACCCTGTCTCTATAAAAAATACAAAAATCAGTCAGGTGTGGTGGTGAGTGCCTGTAGTCCCAGCAACTTGGGAGGCTGAGGCTGGAGCGTCACTTGAGCCCAGGAGGTTGAGGCTGCAGTGAGTCGTGTTTGCACCACCATACTTCAGCGAGGTGGATACAGGTCTTTTTTAAAACAAAAAACCAAACCAAAACAATAGCAACAACAGCAAAAACACTCACAGGCCTTCGGGTTGGGCTGGGCTTGGACAGGCTGTTCTGCTGTGCTCCCTGGGGTTCACTCAGGTTGCTTTAGCCAGCGGGAGGCGTGGGTGGGTGGAGGTGCGGGTGGGTGGAGGTGCGGGTGGGTGGAGGGTCTGGAATGGCTCCATTGACAGGTGTCGGGGCTCTGGCATTGACTGCCAGTTTTGTGTCTCTTTCGTGAGCTCTCATCTGTCTGTCTCACCTACATGGTCCCAAGAGGGAGAGTGAGGGGCCACCCAGGCCTCAGAGCTCACCTGACACCGTGTTTGCCACATTCTATTGGTCAAAGCAAGGACCCCCAGATTCAGGTGTGGAGATTCAGGTGTGGAGAGACAGGCGCTACCCTTGATAACATGAGCTGTGAAGAATTGAGGACATTGAAACCTAGTCTCCGTGGCTGACACGGCATAGTTTACTGTGTGGAGAGAGAACCATTCTGTTTGCAGTGACACTGCTGGTTTCACATTTTGGTGATCCTCAGTAAATGATAGAAATGAAGAACTGCCACATCTCCTAAAGTTGAACATCTTCTGGTTTTATGTAAGAGACATTTTTAACTTAATAGCATCTTGGGAGTTACTGCCTGAAAAACCCATCCTTTTAGTGCTAATGCATCACATAATTTTATGAACAAGCCAAATTATTTGCAGCATATATGAATATTCTTAAAACCAAATTGCTTTACGTGCGTAGAAAGATAAGCAAAAATAAAACACTATGCATATTTCATTTTCCCTGTCGTTTATTTTCTTTAAGAATTTGTTGTCTATGACTTCAGCATTCCCAGACACATTACATTTCCACTTCAGGCATGAGCATTCAATGGCTGTGTGTTCTGCACCAAGCCAGGGCCGGGAGCTGAGGATGAAGAGACACGACGCAACCCCCAACCCACAGCGGCCGGCCTTGAGGGGCACCTCATCCTCCATGACCACACAGGGTGGTGCTACCAGACGTACCTCAGTCAAAGCAAACTGAGGCATCCATCACCTTTGCCCTAGTTTGAGCTTATGGAACCCCAGCTGTAGGTCCCAAGCACGGTGTCTTGAATTCATGAATCAATCAATCAATTAATGCAAATAATTTGCTCCTAAGGGGTTGTGAGAGGGTTTAAGCCAACATCTGCCTGCAGGCATGTTACTGGGGAGGCCTGGTTTGGAACTGGCTCTGACCCTCCAAAGGACCAGCAGTCTCTGGCCACAGCAGCAGGGCGGGGCCTTCCACCTGTGACTGCCAACGCGAGTCTCTGTGTTGTGTCTGGTTTCTGGAGACCTTGGCCTGCCCTGTGGGGTGGACAGGACCCAGTGTGCTGGGAGGGACGTGCAGTTTTGGGGGATTCTGCTGCTGGGTGTGGTAAGAAGGCTCGGGGAGGAGGCTGGAAAGGATGCCACCCTCTGTTGTCCCCACTTGGTGGGTGGGGCTGGGGGGCAGCACTCAGGGCAGCGGCTCTCCAGCCACAGCAGCCCCACAGTTCAACGAGCAGATTATGAAAGGCGGCATCCATGGGTGCGGTGGGGCTGGCCTCAGACCCGAGACCTGCCCTGTGTTTTGAGCAATGATTCCAAAGCGTGACTCCCGCAGGGTCCACTTGGGAAGACGTCGGGAGCCCTGGGCCTTCTGGGTCTGTCCATGGTGCAGCCACAGCAGTTCGGGTGATAGACCCATGTAACCATCTCTGATCTAGTTTTACCTGACTCGGTTTCCTCGGGAGCTCAGGGCCCCAGCAGTGGGAGGACCTGCTGTGCTGACTTCCTTAGGCAGGAGGGGGAGAAAGGCTGCCTACCACAGCACAGACCCAGTGCTGTTCCTGATGCAGCAGCAGGTTCTAGAAAGGCCAGTCTTTTCTCTCTGTGGAAGTTGCAAGTGGGGAGGGATTGTGCTGGAAGCCTCCAGAGGAGCTTTATACTTAGACCTGGTGCTCCCTGGAGGAGGAGGCGCCTGGACTGATCACCTCTGACACTATGTTCTGAGCTCAAACAGGAAGGCAGGAGCGGCGACTGCAGCCAGGTCTCTGTGGGAATGCTGCAGCTGGAGGCCAGTACCGAGTGTTGCCTTTACTCTGGTTTTATTTCAGCAGGCATCTGCTAGACATTACTATTAAATCTCAAGAGAGGGCCGGGCACAGTTGCTCACGCCTGTAATCCCAGCCCTTTGGGAGCACAGGGCAGGTGGATCACCTGAGTTCAGTTCAAGAGTACCCTGATCGACACGGTGAAACCCTGTCTCTACTAAAAAATACAAAAATTACCCAGGCGTGGTGGCAGACACCTGTAATCCCAGCTACTCGGGAGGTTGAAACAGGAGAATTGCTTGAACCCTGGAGGCAGAGGTTGCAGTGAGCCGAGATTGTGCCACTGCACTCCAGCCTGGGTGACAGAGTGAGACTCTGTCTCAAAAAAAATCTCAAGACACAGGATTTAACCTGTGGTGTGGCTGAATCTGTATAATAAAATATTTCACAATTTGGAATGTAACAAACTCATAAAACATAATAGAATAAATGGGGTCGTACTGTGAATTGCAGGCACAGAGGCTACACAACATGCTGGTGAGAACATGGGCCACAAAGCTTGGGTTCTAATCTCAGCTCCACCACTTGCCAGCTGTGTGACCTTGGGCAAGTTACTTAACCTCTCTGGGCCTCAGTTGCCTCTTCTTTACAATGGCGTAATACCACTATTCATTTCAGAGGATTTTTTGTGAAGATTATATGCAATAAAAGCACCTGAGAAGCATTAGCCCAGGTCCAGGCCCATAGTCAGTGTTTTAATAAGTGTTCATGATGTTATTAGCAACACTCACTGATAACCCAAATGTTTTCTTACCAAACAAACCGAACCATTACCCTCCAGGAACATGACGAGCCTGTGGAAACCATGGCAGAAGCCCCATGCTGTAGGCAAACCAAGCCTTGTTGATTTCCTCCCTTTATCCACATGGAAACGAAGGCTGAGAGAGGCTTGGTAGCTTGGCCAAGGTCATAAGCAAGGAACCCCAGTCAGTGTGACCTTGGCTGTCAGGACTATGATGACTTACTGCCTCTATTGAAGGGGAATGGAATTCGATCATGAAAATGGAATTGTGCAGTGGGGTTCATTCATTCATTCATTCATTCATTCATTCATTCACAGGTGTTTACTGGGCATATTCAGCTGTCCTTGTGTGTTTAAGCTTGGTGTGTAGGTTTAAATGGCTTCCCCCTGCCCCCCAACCCCCCCTTTGGGTGGTGTGGGCAGGGAAGCATGTGGCCATCATCACAGGACCAACTGTTTCACCAGCCCCCCGTCCAGCTCCGACACCAGCCTGCGCTTCCCGGACAGCAACGGCCTCCTGCAGACCCCGCGCTGGGACGAGCCACAGCGGGTATGCGCCCTGGAGCAGATCTGCGGCGTGTTCCGCGTGGACCTGGGCCACATGCGCTCCCTCCGCCTTTTCTTCAGGTAGGATGTGTCTCTGGGTGCCTCCTGGGACTTGGCCATGTGTGCTTTTCCCAGCAGCCTGGGCTTTGCAGTGGACGGCGTGGGGACACAGGGCCCTGGCTGGAGTCTTCACAGGTGTCTTTCTTCTTCCTGCACTGGTCTCGGAGGCAGTGGTTCCCCGCTGCGGCTCCCCGGCAGTTCTTAGGCAGGGCGAGCTACCAAACTCATTCCCCTGCCTTCTGAGTGACGTAGCTCGTGGTCGCTTCCAACTCTGGCTTGGGAGAAGAAACCAAACCAGGGCAGAGAGTAGCAGCTGCGGGCCACTCTGATCCTGGGGAGATGCTCTGGAGCTCCGCCACCCATGCGGGCCAGGCCGTGGCTTTGCGGACAGAGGCTCCCTTCCTTTTGTGACGGGTGGGCGATGCCACTTTTCCTGCCGTCCTCCCCACATCAGATCCTCTTCCTTGTAGTCAGGACCGCCCAGCCACAGACAGCTCCAACAAGAGGCACGGGCTTAGAAGAAGCCGGCGTGTCCAGAAGCTAGGGGGGTTCCTAAACCCAGAGCCACATTCCAGCCTTTCATCTAAGGGCAGCCGGGGTTGGGCTGACAGCACTGACGGATGTTTAGTGAGTTTCCCTGGAGGGTTCTCCCAGAGTTCCACCCACACACAACGGAGGAGTCTGTTCCCAGGAGATTCTCTTAGCACACGCCCCACCGGGCTCAAAACCGGATTCCAGGCACCCAGCATCCACCCCCCAGGTCTCCCAGACGGCAGGGACCATGTAGCAGGGCAGGTGGTCGTGGGGAGAGGGCCATTCTGGCAGGTCTCCAGAGAGGAGCCCCAGGGCCCCCCAGGAAGGAGCAGTTTCGCCATCTTCAGCAAAGCGGGTAATGGTCTGTGTTCGGGTCTAGTTCTGCCCCCGCCCACCAGCAGCTAGCTCCACTGGGACTCACTGTTTCCTGCTTCTGAGGTTGGTGACAGTGGCCTCTGATTATACTTGGAAATAAAAACCCCGTGTTTACATATTCATCGGGCTTCCCTCTCCCCTCTCCGATGGCCCTTCAGCGACGAGGCCTGCACCAGTGGCCAGCTGGTCGTCGCCAGCAGAGAGAGCCAGTACAAGGTCTTCCACTTCCACCACGGCGGCCTGGACAAGCTGTCTGACGTGTTCCAGCAGTGGAAATACTGCACGGAGATGCAGCTCAAAGACCAGGTAGCCCATCGCACGGCCCCAGCACGCCCTGAGGCTGACACTCCCCACCCCCGCCCCAGGGGCCCACCTCCAGCCTGGGTCCTGTGTCTGGGGTCCCCGGGCCCAGGGGTTTACGGGGTGTGACCCACGGTAGCTTTCGGCCATCAAAGCGGCAACTTGGGGCTTGAAACCTGTGCCCAGGGCTCTCTGTAAAGTCAGTGCTCTGCACTTGAAAATCATGTTTTGACAAGACTTCCTGCCATATTTTGCTCAATCTACGTACAAATGTAATAAGAGCTCTTTAATTATCTGTTTAAGGTACTGTATGTGCTTATTAGAAACGGGGCTGACTTTAAAATTCCCTTCCTTCCCACAGAGCCTCCTGCTGGCTTCCCTTATTACAGTAGCGTGGCTTTCTCTCCCCTGCATTGAACAACCTTTGATTTTTGAATTAAATGTCAGCTGCAGTTTTGCCCTGGATTCGTGACTGTGCGCGGAGACAATCTGACAGGCTGGCTCCCTGCTCGCAGAACAGCCATCCCTTTGTATGTGGCCAATCACATGTAATTCATTGCAGGCCCTCCCGGCAGAGGGAAGTTAGGCCCAACGAGGCATTAATTCCGTTTTTTGCGGCTGGCGCTGGAGAGAGTGGGGGGCGGTGGCACAGTGGGCCGGGGACAAGGGAGCCGCAGAGGGAAACCGATTTTAAGATGAAGGTATTTTCATTTTAATTGCGGCTAATTACGCGCGCCATTTAGGGGTTTGTATGCAGGGGACGGCCCTTGCCCTCCTTTCAGAAGAGAGAGAGGCTTTTCATCCTGGGAAAATCACTGCTGGCCTTGAGGCTGGCGGCTGAGATCCTGACCTTTGCCCAGTTTTCCTCCCATCCAGCAGGTCGCCCCCGAAAAGACCTGCATGCAGTTTTCCATCCGCCGCCCCAAGCTGCCGTCCTCCGAGACGCACCCGGAGGAGAGCATGTACAAGAGGCTGGATGTCTCTGCCTGGCTCAACCACCTGAACGAGCTGGGCCAGGTGGAGGAGGAGTACAAGCTGCGTAAGGTGAGGCCTGGGCCCGCCCGGCCGGCTCTATGGAGAGCCGGCCAGGAACCAGGCAGTGAAAAGGAAGGAGGGCCAGGGACTGGCCGCCCGCCCGCACCCACGGGCCATCTCCTCGGGAGGGCCCCGTTTTCTTGTGTGAGGTTCTCTGTGAACACACCGATAAAGCAATCAAAGCCGCTGTGTTGAAAAAAAAAAAGAACACCTCCCTCTCGGGTTTGGGGGGATACCTTGTCAGCCTGCATAGAAGGGTTTGCAGTGAAATGCAGCATTTCCAAAACCAGGGATTAGGCCACGACGTGAGAACGACAGGTTAATCTGAGCGCCACCCCAGGGGGGGCATTGACATTGAAATGAGCCGGGTTTGTGTCCTGTATGGGAATTGAAGGCCACCGCTTTCCCCTTGTAAACATGCAAATTGCAGAGATCTGAATCAAGGCGCACCAAAGCCACCAAAACACACATCTCTGGGGATTTGGGGGTTCTTTGAGCTGCCCTATTTTATCCCCTCCCCAACTTTTGCCGCTTCCTCTAGGCCATTTTCTTTGGCGGCATTGATGTGTCAATCCGGGGGGAGGTCTGGCCCTTCCTGCTGCGCTATTACAGCCACGAGTCCACGTCGGAGGAGCGGGAGGCGCTGCGGCTGCAGAAGCGGAAGGAGTACTCTGACATCCAGCGGAGGAGGTAACCGCCTGGCCCGCCCTGCCGAGCCGCAGAGGAAAATGTCATTTGAAAAGGCAATTTGAGGTGCAATTCAGCATTGATAATATGTTTCGTGACCCATAGTTTCTTTCAGAAATGGGTCTCCCAGGAACGTGAGTGATAGGGTGGGCTAAGTGCAGTCATTAAACCGAGCACTCGGGCCTCGGAACTGCGGGCTCGTTAGCTCACATGTCAAGGTTTTAGAATTCTCCTTCAACAGACTTAACTAGGCGCTGACGTCCCACAGCTGAAGACTGGGTCTAGGAGCAGGGCCTCGTGGGGTGAAGGGCCCCGGAGGCGGGAGTGTCGTGTCCCACTTGGGGTCCACTCACCCAGGGCTGCGGTAAGCTCTCTCTCCAGGAGGTGAGCTCCTGGCCTGTGCTCAGCTTCCCTCCAGAGCGCTGGTTCGGGGCCAAGGCCTCATTATCCATTAGGCTGCAACCTTCTCTTCTCTCTGGGACACTGGAGCCTGTGAGGCTGAGTTAATACCAGGGAGAGCCTTGGATGCACGCCACCCATCCGTCGCGTCAGGGAGAGTCAGCAGCTGGCAGCAGCAGCCCAGCTCCCATCCAGGGAACAGGGTTGGGAGGGAAGGCGGCTTCCCAGAGTGTGTCCCCACGAGATGCCTCCAGGTGCCACCTGCTGACCCTGGCCGGGTGCTCTGCTCCACACAGGCTCTCCATGACCCCTGAGGAGCACAGAGCATTCTGGCGCAACGTGCAGTTCACCGTGGACAAAGACGTGGTCCGGACTGATCGGAGCAACCAGTTCTTCCGAGGGGACGACAATCCCAATGTGGAGAGCATGAGGTACTCCTCCCAGCCAGCCCGTTCCCCATCTGCAAGTCTGCAAGCCTCTCCCAACCCCTCCGGGAAGTGGATGAGCCCCCAGTGACTTTCTACAGGGGCTCTCTTTCCAAGTTCAGACATCAAAGCCTCAGAAGTGAAGGACACACTACTCATGAGCTACTCGAGTCGGCATCTCAGAGCCACGGCATCCCAGGGAAACCAGTGGGGCCCACAGAGACCCCCATCCCCTGGGCACCACCAAGCCTGTCCTTGCTTGGCTCATACCAACCATGGACCAGCTTCCCCATGCACCCCCTCCACCTCCCCGTGGGTGGTCCTGCAGTCATACAGGCACACAGAGCCAGAGGCTGGCATCTGTGACATTCTGCTGCAGCCTAGCAAATAATTGCACAAAATTAACAGCCCACAGAAATGTCCCTGCCAGCCCACCCCTTGCCACAGGCAGTCCATCCTTCTGTAAATCAGACCCGTGTTCCCCCTTACTCCTGCTCTCAGGTTCTGGGCCTAGGCTTAGCAGGCACTGCTTTTTTTTCTGAGACGGAGTCTTGCTCTGTCACCTAGACTGGAGTACAGTGGTATGAACTCAGCTCACTGCAACCTCCACCTCCTGGGTTCAACCTGAGTCTCCTGCTTCAGCCTCCCAAGTAGCTGGGATTACAGGTGTGCACCCCACCATGCCCAGCTAATTTTTGTATTTTTTGTAGAGACAGGGTTTCACCATGTTGCCCAGGCTAGTCTTGAACTCCTGACCTCAGGTGATCTGCCCACCTCGGCTTCTCAAAGTGCTGGGATTATAGGCATGAGCCACCTCACCTGGCCAGGCCATTACCTTTACAAAGCAAGAGTCTATGTGTCCAGAACCTCAGCTTGGGTTCTAAGATGGTGGCAGAGCTGCCTTCCACCGAGATGAAGGCAGGCGGGGCAGGCAGGGTCCATGGCCCAGGGTTCTGTGGGGTGGGCAGTGTGCCACGGTGAGGGTCATCCCCAGCCTCTGCTGTCTCGGCCACCTCCCAGGAGGATCCTGCTGAACTATGCTGTCTACAACCCAGCCGTCGGCTACTCCCAGGGCATGTCGGACCTGGTGGCGCCCATCTTGGCCGAGGTCCTGGACGAATCGGACACCTTCTGGTGCTTTGTGGGTTTGATGCAGAACACGATCTTTGTCAGCTCCCCTCGGGACGAGGACATGGAGAAACAGTTGGTGAGGCTCAGAGGGATGGTTGCATCCAAGGGATCGAGGGCCCAGGCTGCCTCTCCCCTTGTAGCCAGGGTTGCCGTGGTGACATGTGGCTTGGCTGCTGTGGGTCAGTGGGCAGCGGAAAAGCCAGGATAGGATTTGCCATGGGATATGGGTGGCTTTGCCCTTATCTCTGGGGATGCCCCCCAACTCCCTGCAGGTCCAGAGGCCACGTGGTGTGGGCGGCTCTTGTGGCCTCCCCCCACCCCCTACACGTGACAGCCTGGCCCAAACTCCCTGGCTGGGAAAGAAGGAGAGGCCCCATCACACCCAGTCCTCCCTGCGCCTTATAAAATGCTCCCTGCAGGGGTCAACACAGCCAGGGCTTCTGAGTGGGGATAGGAAGAGGAGGGGCTCCTGATGTCCCCGTGGGGCCCGCGGGGTCAGTCCTCACATCCCACTCCTTCCCTGGGGTGCCCAGCTGACACCTCTCCCGTCAAGGCCTCCTCAAAAGGATCAGCCCTATGTAGACCAGGAAGCTCTGAATGTTGGCGGTGTGGCTGAGCCCAGCCGGATGAGGCAGGGCCTGAGGGCCACTGTGCAGTGCAGGGACGGAGCCAGGGGCACCCACTCAGTGTTCCCCACTCAGTGTTCTCAGCACACATCGCCCGTGTCCACCAACTACCTGCTGGGCACAGGCAGCAGACACTCACCCTTCTGGCCGGGAGACACGGTCAGGAAGCCAGCATTGTGAGCAGAGGACACTGGGTGTCAGGAGCGCTGCAGGAGGCACCTGTGATAAGGACAGGAAGGCACTGGGGACAGCCAGGGTACATGGGGTCTGTCCCTGAGCATCACTAAGGCTGGGCTAAGTGGAGCAGTCCTGGTGGTGGCACTGGGTAACCCAGTCTTCCTGGACCAGACCCATCACAAGTAGTGAGGGTAGAGCTGATGGAGGGCCTCACAGGCCTGGGCCACAGGGTCCCCACCCTGCAGCCACAGAGTATGTCTCAGAACAGGGTCCCCACCCCCAGGCTACAGAGCCTGTCTCATAGAACGGAGGTCCCCACCCCAGGACACAGAGAGTGTCTGATAGAATGGGGTCCACCCCGTGGTCACAGAGCATTTCTAATAGAATGGGGTCCCCACCCCCAGGTTGAGGACTGGTGCTGGTTGGTGGCCTGTTAGGAACTGGGCCGCACAGCAGGAGGTGAGCGGTGGGCGGGCCAGAGTGCATTCCCTGGGCTCCTCCTTTATCAGAGCAGCAGCTGCATTAGATTCTCATAGAAGCTCGAACCCTAGCACCCTATTGTGAACTGCGCTGCTTATGAGACTCTAATGCCTGATGATGTGAGGTGGAACAGTTCCAGCCCAAAACCATTCCCACTACCTGGTCCATGGGAAACTGTCTTCCAGGAAACGGGTCGCCGGTACCACAAAGGGTGGGGACCGCTGCTATACACTAACTGTTAGGGGTGGCTGATGACAGGCTGGGAGAGCTGAAGCCAACAGAGAGGATTGGAAGGCAACGGATCCCAGGCAGGGAGGCGCAGGCACCTGCATGGGGTGGGAGTGGAGTGTCTGCAAGGTATCGTCCACATGGGGGGACTTGGCCCAGCTGCAGGCACAGGGCGGAGGGCAGCCACACAGCTCCAGCGCAGTCTCCCGTTGGAACAATGGGCCAGAGGTGTGGGAAGAGGCATGTGCCCCTGAGCCCTGCCCCAGGATCCCCCCAGCTGTGATCTAACCCCCGCCCCCACTGGCTGCAGGCTGACCCTCACCGAGCCTCCTCACTCTGCATCACCCAGTGGGTGTAACATCAGTTGTCCACGTTGCCTGGGGAGGCAGTTACAGAGCCCAACACCGTTCGCCCCTGACGGCTCAAGGCAGCACATGGCTGGGTGACTCATTGACTGCTGGAGATTGATTTTCCAGAGGCATTGATGAAGTCAGTGTCTTGAGGCCAGGTGCTGCCAGAAATAGCCCCAATCTTGTCTCGTGTCACTGGGAGGTGACCTTAATGTCAGGAATTGAGCATCCTGGGGCTCAGACACATCCCCTTCCTGCCCTCCATCAGCTCTAAAAGATGATAGATCTTCCACATAGAAGATGAGCAGAGCCAAAGTGAGGGGTGATGGTTCCCTGGATGATCCACTCACCTTCAGGAGGGGTGGAGGTGGGAAACAGCTCCCAAGTGTCCACTGAGGCTGGGGAGCCTTACTGGCTGTGTAGTGGCTGCTCAGCCTCTGCCACGCTGGGGAACAATACTCATCCTGGGCCACACCACAGCCTCCGAACAGTCAGGTCTGGGAGGAACTGGCAGAGACAGGTGTGAGCCAATTCTCATGGTGGAATAAAGTAATGGGGACAGGCAGGTGCAGCAGGCAGAGGCCCCGGGTGTGCTTTTCCAGGTCGGGGAGGTCTGAGGAAGGGCCCCCCTGGGAGTGGGCCTCCTGGGCAGCAGGCCCGAAAGGGGCCGGGCTAACGGGTGCTGGCCTCGCCCTCAGCTGTACCTGCGGGAGCTGCTGCGGCTGACGCACCTGCGATTCTACCAGCACCTGGTCTCACTGGGCGAGGACGGCCTGCAGATGCTCTTCTGCCACCGATGGCTCCTGCTGTGCTTCAAGCGTGAGTTCCCTGAGGCCGAAGCGCTGCGGATCTGGGAGGCCTGCTGGGCCCACTACCAGGTGAGCCAGGGCAGGGGCCTGGGGCTGGGGAGGTTGGGACCATGGCCCCTGAGCCACTGTGGCCACCCTGCCCCCTGCCCCTCTGCCTCACTGCCCCCCACCCACAGCCACACATCAGCCCCCACGAGGCAACTGCCTTCCAGTCCCACGTGGCTGGCTCCAAACCTCGAAGGTCGCTTCCCCAGTCACTGAAATCGATGCAAATTGCCCACTGACTGCGCTCATTACCACTTTCTGGGGCTGAGCTCCCTCCTGTCACAACCGATCAGTGTGAGTGACACCGTCGGGGCCTGCGCAAGGCCACAGCAGCCCGGGACACTGGTGCCCACGAGCGGGGGCCAGCACTGCCCTGCCCCCTCAGGACTGGCCTGCCATGAGGGCTGGCTAACGTTACCCTCCTGTGCAGAGAACCAGTCTGAGACCCCACTTCCCCATCGGCCCCTCCAGAGGGCCCCCGTCAGCAACGCCACCTCCCACTCGCCATCCACGGTCACCAGCATCTTCTCAGTAAATTCCCCTTGGAGCACAGCACTGGCTCTGTCACATGGCCGTAATGCCCAAATTAGGGACAAGCTGGAGATGTCAAAAGATAAGCAAGTCTCTTTGAATCCATCAGCCTCTTAAAAAAAACTCACATCCGGGAGGGCTGGACCCTGTTGCAGGAGCGGGCTCCCTCCACCACGGCAGCTCCAGCAGCCTCGGTCAGAGAACCCTGAGATGGATGAGAACACCCATCTGCCCAAAGACATTTGCGTCAGCGCTCCCGTCCTCACTCACACCGCAGGGGCTGATGTCTGATAAAAGCGAGTCTGGAGCCACAGAGTGCCGGTGCCACGGCCGCCTTTGCATGCGTCGATCGGCTCGACCCTGGCCCGATCGGGTTTCCCTCTTGGCTTAGCCTGCTCTGCATGGATGTGCAGGACGGATGATCTGCTTTAATAAAGGGAACTGCGTCAGGATGGACCGAAAGGCTGCTTCCCCCCCACCCCCGCCCACCAAAAAAAAAAAAAATTGTATCTCCTTACACGTTTTTCCAGTGGCACATTTGCTGCCCTCATTCCTTTGCATTCAGGCAGTTAGGAGCCGGCTGGAGGCGTGGCCCAGTGGGTGGGCCCTGTCCCGGGCACCTTCTATGTCCGAGTGTGATGAGATCTAGTCGGAATTGCAGCAGGGGCCCGTGTGACATGCGCCTCATCTTTGTTGCCTGCCATTTTGTTGGAAGTCCACACAGCAAGTTTCTGTTGTTTTCAGACTATGGGCTGAACTTAGCCACAGTTGGTCCCGTCCCTTGATCAGTTTGGTGGTATTATGGGGTGGGGCTGGGCTGCTAAGGAGCCAGGAGTGAGCTCTGTGGAATGGGAAGGTTGTTGTCAGGTGAGGCCTTTAACTGTCCAGTGACCCATCTGCTGCCCATGTGTGGTGGGGCTGGACAGCCCACACCCCGCCTGTCCTGGGAACTGAAATCTGCCTGTGCTGTGCAGCCCGTGGAGAGCAGGCCCTCCCTCTCCCTCCCCACATTCCTCTCCCAGAGAAGCTGGACGTCCACCTTCCTGGAACTCCTCCACCGTGTCTCACCCCAGCCACAGTTCAAATTGTAGCGAAAGGAACCGTCGGAGCCAAAATAAGACCGTCAGGAGGAGTTCAGAGGAAGGAGTGGGACAGCCTGGTGCACGGTCCCTCCCGGAGCAGGCCGGGGCGTGGGAGTTGTCCACAGCCTCTGCCCTCATGGTGTGCTCTGCAGCCTGGACTGGGGACACCGTTCCGCTGGCTTGTGTGGTCAATGTCAAGAGACTAAACATGGACTTCCCGGTGCCCACGTCCTTCCTGTGCCTCCGGAAACACGCATGCATCAAAGGCGGCGCGCCTCGAGGCATCCCGGCCAGAGAGCACACAGGATGCGTGGTCAGGACCCGGCTGGGCTTCCTGCTGCACATAGCGAGATGCTGGCAGGCCCCAGAGGTAGCCTAAAGGGAGGGCAGCGGAGTCCTCAAAGGGCGCGAGGACTCCTGAAGAGAGGCTTAAGGACAGTGGGGTCATTTCAGCCACCCCGTTGGGGAGCTGCTGTGCCTGCTGTTAGGATCTTCCCACTTTCTAGCCACAAACCTTTGAGTTGTCTCTGGGGCATGATTTGGGGGGTGTGGCCTGGAGCCAGGAGGACAGGCTGACCCTTGGGTGGCTGCCAGAGGCACATTCCACAGCCCGCTGGAGTGAGTTCTGACCCAGCCTTCCCCACTCACCATTGCTCAAGACCATTACAAGTGAGGCCTCCCCACAAGCACAGGCCAGGCCTTCTGAGGAAGGATGCTCTTGGCTCCCGTCATGGAGATCACACTGCCACCCAGCAGAGCAGCAGCAGCCCCTGGGTGCTGAGCTCAGCATCGTCCCCTTTGGATATCGCAGCAGCCCAGGCATGTGGGTCCCAGGACAGACCCCACGTGCAGGAGGGGAAACTGAGGGCCAAAGAGGCGATGTAGCTTGCCCAGGGCCTCAAGGCCCCAGAGCTGGGCTCTGAGCCCAGACGTCTTGCTCTGAAGCCCTAGCTGGCACCTCAGCACTCAGTTTCCCCCGGAGGCAGGGCCTGGGGCTCGGTCAGACCCCGAGTCTGAACTCTCCCCGCCTCCACAGACAGACTACTTCCACCTTTTCATCTGCGTGGCCATCGTGGCCATCTATGGGGATGACGTCATTGAGCAGCAGCTGGCCACGGACCAGATGCTCCTGCACTTCGGAAACCTGGCCATGCACATGAACGGGGAGCTGGTGCTCAGGAAGGTGAGGCTGTCCCAGACCCCAGACGCCAGCCCTGCCCCCTCCCATAGTGCTGGGAGCTCCCTGCCAAGGCATCAGGGTCAGCACCTGGCTGTGTTGCCTCAGTTGTCCCCTCACTCTCCTGGGGTTCCAGCCCTGACACAGGAGCCTCCCTCGCTGGCTGAGGAGGGAAGAATTCCCGGGCTGATCCACCCTAGGGCACCTCACTTACAACCCAGAGCCAGGAACGCTGAGACTGGGCCCGGTGGGTGGGGTGGCCAGAATTGTGGGGTGGCTATTCTGGGGGCTTGGGTTCTGGTCCCCTCCCCCGCTTCCCAGACTCCTCCTGAAGACACTGCCCTTTGGCTCTGTGGTGGTCCTCAGGGCAGTGAGGTGGCATCCCAAGGTTGGTGGTATCCTCTGGCATAGCACGCAGATCCTGCAGGAACTGAGGGGCTGCTGGGGGACAGGGCGGGGGGGGGGCAGAGCAAGATGGGGGGCAAAGAGTCAGAGAGGGGCCTGCCAAAGGGATGGGTGGGCTTGGCTGGACGAGGCCGGGCCCTGTGCTGCTGTGGTCCTGTTCACCCTCCCAATGAAGCCCGTCCAGGGGCCTTCCTCACCTTCACAGCCCATCACTGCAGCCCCCTAAGACCCAGAGCTGTGCCGGTGATGGGGGAGTCGCAGGCAGAGAGCCCAGGACTCAGTGAGTCCCCAGGTGCAGACCATTGCTGCTGTTGCTCCTTGCCAGCCACTCCCGTGGGGACCCTGGGCTGCCAGGCTATCCCCCAGCACCTCCTCACCTCCTATCCTCTCTCTGCAGGCGAGGAGTTTGCTGTACCAGTTCCGCCTCCTGCCCCGGATCCCCTGCAGCCTGCATGACCTATGTAAGCTGTGCGGGACCGGCATGTGGGACAGCGGCTGCATGCCTGCCGTGGAGTGCACCGGCCTACACCCCGGCTCGGAGAGCTGTCCCTACGGGGGCACAGTGGAGATGCCTTCTCCCAAGCCCCCGAGGGAAGGCAAGAAGGGCCCAAAGACGCCGCAGGACGGCTTCGGCTTCCGCAGATAGGTCGGGCCCCCAGCGTTGGACAGGGGTTGAGGGGACCTCCCTGGAGGCCCTGGGCATGGGAGGGGGTGGGGCTGGGCATGGAGGGGATAGGGGACGGTAGGAACCTAAGGAAAATGCTTTTGGGCAATGTGAGAGGAACCTTTTCGTATTAGCAACAAAATCAGGGTCCGGAAGTGACAGAAGTCAGACCTGCAGCCGCCTGGAGGGAAGCCAGCTCCCGGAATGCTGCGGTGGAACGTGCGGCCACTGTGCCTGAGGTGCAGGCTGGCCAGGCTCTCCTGCCGGCTGCCCTGGAGGATTTCAGCACGTCCAGGATTTGCTCCAGCCTCTCAGGCAGCCAGACAGCATTGCCAGGCAATGAGGAGAGCAGAGATGAGAGAAGGCGGCTTCGCTCACCCAGCAGCATCGAGGGCTGCAGAACAGAGCGGGGTCCCATCCAGGTCCAGGGACATCTCTGCAAGCCAGACACACTTCCTCATGAGACCTCATGCTGAGTGAGCCAGACACACTTCCCACAGCTTCCCCAGCCACAGCTGGGATGCCGATGGAAAGACATTTGCCATTTTAAAAAAACCAGCAGCCCAACTGATATGGGGACGGAGAGGTGGAAGAGCAGTCAGGTTTGAGGAGCTGGGGCATGTCATGTTTATCCACTTAAACATTTCGTCCTCCTGGTACATGAAGGGAACCACCCACCTGCCCGGGACCCTGAGCCTCAGGCTGTTGGAGAAGCATCCGAAGCCTTTTTCTTAAGTGGGGGTCTTCTATGTGACATGAGGTTCCTTGACACTGTTTAAGGTCACCTCCACCAAATAGAGCAGCCAGCTGGGGCTTGAGTGGGTCGCTCTGTGTGTCCCTGCGTGCATGCGTGTTTGTGTTGGAAGATCCTCTGAAGATCTGCTACAACCCAGGGCAGTATGTTAGCTGACCAACCGAGACAAGGACACCTGGAGATAGACTCTTCCACTTCCCTGCAGGGCCGGTAGTCTCTGCTGTGCACTCAGATATACACGTCAGCTTCTCAGGTGGTCGGGCGTGAGAGAGACCACAGTGAAGGAGCCAGCACTCTGGACTCTCTGCCTTCCCGACACACTCTCCCTCCGCCAAAAGACTGTCAGTTGCTCCTTCTGGAATTTAGAGATGGACAGACAAGGGCATGCAATCTCTGCTGTGAGAGCTTCCAGCCAGCTTAGACATGTTGAGCCGTTTGCACAGAAAGCTACTCCTCGAGCAAGGAGACCAAATGCCTCCTAAAATCCTCCACTGCGTCCTTCTAGGGAGAAACCCCTTGATGTGCTGAGACCCATCATGGGGACAGGGACAGGGGGCTTCCCACTTGAAGCTTTTCTCCCTGAAGGGTGGGCACTGCTGGACCATGCCACGTCAAAGCAGTGTTTCTCCACAGGAAAGAGGAGGACACCACTTACCGGCCGCCGCCGCCGCCGCCGCCGCCTCCTCCTCCTCCTCCTCCTCCTCCTCCTCCTCCTCCTCCTCCTCCTCCTCCTCCTCTTCTCATTTCTCCATGAGCCCAGGTCTGTCCAAGAGCCTTTTGGAGAGACTTTCCTGGAGCCCCATCAGTGCCCAGATCCTGGGGTACCGACCATTACTGTCTAGCAGTGGGGGTCCTGCGACAGGGCTGGGGTGGGCTTCTCATCCACTTTGCTTCTGGGAAGAGAGGGTTGCCTTTCTGGGCTGGCTCCTGGTCTGTTAGGGAGGTGGCTGGAGCTTCTGCCCCGACCCCCCAAGAAACCAGTTCTCTCCATTGCCACAGCAATGCTGTGCGGTGAATCCCGAAGCAGCCGGTGGCTTGCAGCAGTCAGCACAGACCTGGACCAGGAGTCAGCAGTCTGGGCGGGGCGGTTCTGCCGGTATAGGCTGGGTTTGCTTGTTTGGGGCCAGTGGGCTGCTAAGTCCCAGGAGATGCTCCTGGTGCAGAGGTCAGACCTGGCACTCCTCTGTGGTCTCTTTTATCCCCACTGCAGACCAGCCATGGTGGAGCCAAAGGCAGGGAAGGAGAGACGGCAAGTGCCTCTCCAAGCCTTGGCAGACAGCACACCTGCAGCCCTGCCCTTGGCCACAGCAAGCCATGTGGCTGGGCTCAGCATTAAGGGGTGGGGGACGGACCTGCCACTTTAGTGTCCCCTCTGCACAGTCAGGTGGCAGTAGGCTGAGAATTTGGAGGGCTGAAGAACGGGGACTCCAGAGAGTCTGTGTCCTAATAACTGCTGCTTTGGAGCACTCCTTCCCCACTCCCCCTCTCCAGGAGAATGGTCCCTGCATTTCACTAGATACCTTGTGCCTTTGAGGTGCTGTTTGGGAGGGAGGAAGAGGGTGGCCAGGTCCAGGGCTCCCCTCGCTTGGGAGGGTCCTAATAGAAGCCATTCCTTCTGAGTCTCCTGGCCCTACAGCTTCTCACCTCTGCTGCTCCCCAAGACCTGACCCAGACCCATCAGCCGCATCTCTGCACCAAGTGCCACCCCTGCCAGGCACTGCTCATACCTCATGCTCCCCATGGGCTGGCCCGGACCTCAGTGAGGCCTGCACCTCGCAGGCCAGCCAGGACCTCGGAAGCCCTGACCTGGGTACTCAGGGCTCCATGGAGGAGACGCTGCTGGGGGTGGAGAAGCCCCGCTCTCTGCAACTCCCTTAATCTGGATGCAATTAGAGGAGAGCAGCCAAAGACCTGCGGCAGCTGTTGCCCCGGGATTATTCCCAGCCAGCGAGAGGCATTAGGGCGATAATTCAGTCATTAGACTTCTAGCCTTCCCACCGCCAGAACGTGCAAATGGGGGATAATCAGCCCTGCACGGCCGTCCTCAGCAATGCCGCTTATTTAACCCATTTTTTAAAATGACACTTAATGTTATTGGCTGGCGGACGTGTGTGCGCATACTTACAAGGTGACGCATGGTTCGGCCCTGCTGCTAATGTCTGCGCTGACAGTGGCGCCCAGTGCTGCCCAGGGCCTCTGGGAAGAGAGGGCACCTTTGATGTGGGTGTGCTGGCACCTGAGGGGCAGCATGGTCAGGCTTGATTCTTGCCGCCCTGGAAGGTCCTGCTGGGGTTGGGGGTCAGGTTAGCATTCAGAGATCTGGGCAGGAAGCAGGGAGCCTGGCATCCTCACCAGGGGCAGAGGGGAAATGTGGACTGCTCCAGAAGGTTCTGACTCAAGTCTCAGCCCCAAGGACTCAGAACTCACAAGCCACAGACTAAGTATAGAAGGAGGGCCCCAGCCCACTCCTGCGGAGGAGGAGGAGGGTCTGAAGGTGGGAGGGGCAGCTCCTTGAGCAGCCACTGTTCCTGACCAGCCAGAGTGTCGGGCACAGGGGAGGAGTTTCTGTGTCCAGGAGGGAGAGGCCCTCCCCCCTCTGACCTTTCAGTTTTCCACAGTAGCCCAGTCTGAAGCCTGCGGGGTCCGGCAGGGCATCAGGGCAAGACGAAGATGCTGGTTCTGGAATGAGGGCTCCCCTTGGACTGAGGGGCAGTGGCTGGCAGAGGTTGCCCAGCTCTGGCCTTTGGTTGGAGGTCACTGGGAATGGAGGTGGGGTGGTGACAGGAGATGGGGTGCGGGCTGTAGACCGTGCTGGGTGGGGCGTCCAATCCTGTAAGGCCTGCCCTCTGAGCCCCCTTGCCTGCTTCTAGTTTGGCAGAAGTAATGCTGGGCACAGCCCCCAAGTGATGAGAATCTGCCCGTGCTGTGCCCTGCGGAAGGATGTGTTTCTGGTGTGGCCTCCCTCTCCCTTGCAGGAGGCTGGGGGTGTCAGGGCTCCACCCTGGGCTCACTGGGCTGAGGGAAGGAAGCACCCCGTATGCTCTGCAGAGGCTCCTGCAGGCCACTTTGCCTCAGAGGAAGGAGGAGAGGTCCCCTGGGAAACACACACACACACGTGCAGGGATACAGCCCAGGTCAGGACTGGCTGCCTAGCCGGGCCTGCCCGGTTCTTGGAGTCTGCAGGGAATGAGTCAGCCTCAGGATCCCCTCAGTTCCTTGTTTCCAAGCCAGGCTGCAAGGCCGCTCCTGGGTGTGAATGCATTGTCCTGGGCCCTCTGTCTAGTCAGAGGGAACCACCCCAAAACTAGAAAGCTAATTTCCCCTGAAGATTCATGAAGCCAGAGGGCATGCTCTAGGATGGGGGATGGTGGGGCAAGAGGGGGTGCTGTGGAAGGGGCCCTGGACCCACCCTGCTGCCTGTGACTCTCCCAAGTATGTGGCCTTCTGCCTCCCCCGGCCTCAGTTTCCTCACCTGTAAGGAGAACAACGCCGCCTGCCTGCCCGGGCCACCTCCTGGGACTGCAGTGGGGACTCTGAGTGTAAAACTGTCCTGAGGATGATTTATGAAGTCCCAGGGACCAACCTGCCACTCAGGGAAGAGACTGCTGACCTCAGCCATCAGCCACATGCATCATAAAGGGGAGGGACCGAGACCTATCCCCTGGTTCTGAGTTAGCAAACCTGCGCTCCCTTCCACACACCCACCCAGCTGTGTGTCCTCTGCCAAGGGCCAGCTTCTATGTGACTTTTCTGTGAAATGCACCCCATTCTGCCCACTCCTACCGCGAAGAAAAATCAGCCAGGAGACCCATCCTCAGCCATCCTGCCAGGAGTGTGTTCGCATGAATGCACATGCAAAGCTCTCTCCATCAGGAGGGTGGTATGGGCCCTGCGGGTCCTACCCCTCGGGCTTGAGGTTCCCTTGGACTGCAGACTCTGGTCTCCTGGGCAGAGCCAGGGGTGCAGACAACCTGCAGCCATCTGGCCTTTTTAGTATATTACGTTGCATTTCCAGGTAGGAAGGTAACATTTCAAGTTCAAAGAGATCATCTCATGCAACCATCTCTCCTCCAGCACTTCTGGAGTAAGGACAGTTTCTGTTACAGTTTAGGGGAATTTTTCATCAAATTTCCACCATTAACCAAGAGACGACTGACGTCCATGGCAAATGACTTGTTCTTGGCATTCTGTTTCGTTCGGTGTTTTAAATGTAATCGTCCATTGGGGTCCAGGACTGGTCTGAGCCGTGCTAGCCACAGCCCCAACTATGCTTCCAGCTTTCCTGGATTCCACAGCAAATAAAACTGTACTGACAACAAATGCACACTGTGCAGCGCCTCTAGACGGTCCAGTGGGACTGCTGGGTCAGAGCGAGGCAGGCTCTGTGCTGGCAGAGAGGGCCCGAGGCCGCCCAAGGTCAGCCTGCAGGCCTGGTTTCTCCCGAGATCTGAGATGGGGGAGGGGAAGGTGCAAAGGAGAGCTGGGTGGGGGCTGTGGGTGGGCAGCACTAGGCCTCCAGGGTGGGCTGCTCAGAGGAAGGGCAGCCCCAGGCCCCAGCAGGCAGCAATGGAGGGTGATGGGAGAATTAACGTGGGCTCGCAGGGTCTCACGAGGGCAAGTGCCCGTTAACTCTGAGCACCTGGGAGCCTCACTCTGGCCCTGGTGCTGGGAAACAAACAGTATTTTGTTGAGCCTTAGCTGCGGGGCTCTGGTTTCAGGAAAAGCCTCAGTCTTGCACTTGTGAGTTTTTTTTAAGAGGCAAACAAGGTGAATTTGACCTTGCTAGGGCTGGGAGTTGGAGAATTCAGGCTGCCCCGCCAAGCTCTGGGAAGCTCGCAGCAGCGATGGGGGAGGGATGGGCAAAGGCGGGCGGCCGGGGGAGCGGGCCTCCTGGTTCTCTGGGAGCACAGAGGGTGCGGAGCTCCAGCCCTTCACCAACGCCCTCTGGGGTTTCCAGCTGTTTTCTGTTGTTTCCTGTGGGTCTTTTACCCTTTTGCCTGCCAGGGGGCGGGGTGGGGGGGGCAACATGAGTCATCTTATCTACATCACTGGGGGTCTCATGTCTGAGGGCCTGTCTCACCTGCCACCTACCTGGCCTTGGCTTAGACATCTGAGAGCCTCATCACCTCCTCTCCACATGCCCAGGGTGCCCCTCCCAAGGTTGGCTGGGCAGGTGCCACGGGTCAGGCCCTAGGAAGAGCGATGGGCTTCTCCCAGGAAACACAGCAGAGGCAGCGCTGCCTGCCTGGGGAGGGCACCCACTACCAGGCATGGCTGGTGGCTCTGTTTAAAGAAATCTTTGTCTACGTGGGGGTGGGAGGTGCTTCCTCATCCTGCCTGGAAGCCACATCCTGGCTCTTACCGTGGAATCTGCAACAGCTGTGGAGGCTGAGTGAAGAAGGAGGGGACTGGTGACTCAGGGGCCCCTGACATTACCACCTCCAAGGCAACAGGACTGGACCAGACAGCTCCTCAGGACGAATGATCCCACCCCCACAGGTCAGCCCTGCAGGAGGACAAGGCCCACGATGACCCCACCTTAGGCTACCAACTGGACCTGTCCCTCCAGGAAGGGCCCTTCCAACATGTCCAGCAGCTGGTTCCCGGGGTACGGCCCAGACAGGCAGCATCATGCTCATGTTCGCCTCTGCTATGCCTACTTCTCCTGTAAATGCCAACTGTGTAGTTATCCACGCCGGCCAAGGGGACACGTGCCACCCAGTGAGCCACACTTTTCAGGGGTGGTACCTCAGGCAGGCCTGGCTCTGTTGTCCCACAGTCCTCAGAGCTGGTGTTGCCCGCTCCATGCCTGGGGAGTGCTCTCTTGCCACACAGCTGGGCAGCATGCATGCCTCAGTGTTCCCATCTCGGCCAGCTGCAGAGGCTCCAGAGGGGAGGTTATTTGGGGTCCTTGTTCATGTCAGGGAAAGCATCCTGTCTGCAGCCCTATTCCAGCTGGGGGTTCTTCCACATTATTCATGCATTCATTCCGCAGGACCGTGGAACCTGGGCTCGCTCCAGGGAAGCAAGGCAGGAGCGGGTTGGGGTTTCCTGGGTTCCTGGGGCAGACACACATGTACCCTGCACACCCTCAAATGAGCAAGCCTTCCTGCTGGCCCCTGGATGAGGCCATGTGGACCCCATACCTTTGGGGCTAGGTGGGCAAGCTTTGAACCCCCAATTTCCGTGTGGCCTTGGCCTGCCCTCCTTCTCCAAGGCGTGACTCTTACTCCAGAGACTCAGGTGAGCAAGTGTCCCTAACCTTATTTTCTCTCGATCAAACTGAAACGCATTGTGAGCCCCCATAGTCTAGTGCGGGCTCTGTTGTTACGGGGGTGCCCCTTCCTCCTGTGCCCAGGACAGGGGCCCCAGGCAAGGCGCAGGCTCTCTGCTCCAGGCTCTTCATCGTCATGGGGACACCCTTTGTCCAAACCCAAGGAATCCCAGGAGGTCTGGCTTTGCCACTTTAGCTGAGACTCAGGTGCCCGGGCATACCTGCATCTGTGCCCCCTCCTCGTCCCCGTGAGGGGGACCCTCAATATCCCAACCCCAACATAGAACCTGAAGGCCTCAAGCCAGCCCTTCCTCCAGTTCGAGCGCCTTCCCTCACATCCACCCAGACAGGTCCAGACCTGCGGCACTTCCATGCCCTCTCCAGACTGGGAGACACCTGCTGCTGACCCTGTGGAAAACAGATTTTGACATTTTGATGCTTCAGAAGTGATGGCTCCTCCTCCATCCCCCCTCCGCCACCTGTGGGTTCTCCTTTCTGCATCTCAGGAGAGCAAGCAGAGCTTTGGGGTCTTGGGGTGTGTGCCATGCAATTTAGACAAAGTGGTTTGAAAATACGCCATTTGATCTCGGACTGGGAAAAGAAGTGTGACTTGACAGGCCCAATGCCATCAGTTCTTCAACGAGACAGAAGAGGACATTTTCTTCTTCAAGTCATTAGAGAGAATGATGTAATAATTTTCTGAATTAACATCTGAAGGTTGAAATTAGGATGGTGCAAAAGAGGAGTACAGGGCCACAGGCTGGGTACAGCAGCCAGCTCCCTGGCAGCAGAAGCTGACTCAAAACCCCCTCAACAAAGAGGGGCACATGCAAGTCATTAAAATGGGAGGCTTTCATCAAGGCCACACCCAAAGTCTACTGATAGAGTTCGTTGATTCCTAGCCATGAATGAACACAATAGAAAAAGACACCGAGGGTCCTAGTGGCTACAAGTCAATGGTGAATTGGCACATGGTCTAGCAGTTTTAAAATCTAACAGTAGAGGATGTAATGGGCAAGGGCCAGGAAGTCCTTCGGAGATGGGAGGTCAGAGCTCTAAACCGGGCTCAGTGGAGGTCTGTGCCCAGTGTCTGGACACTAGCTACAGCGGGGTGCACAGAGGATTCTGGGCAGAAGGAAAATGTCTAAAAGTACTTTGGAAGGGTAAAGGACGGGGGCCTTGTCTAAAATAAAGACTTAAGGATCATAAATACCATCCAGGTTTATGAATTAATGGGGAGGACACCATCTAGCCATTCTCCACATTTCCAGTGGGAAGAACTGGACAAAGGTGCCAGTGGTCACGTCAGGCGCTGCCACAGGGCAGGCACAGGAAATCCACCGTAGACTGCTGACCCTTGGTGCCATCCATTCTGCCTCCTAGACTCGGGTTCTGAGTGCGTGCTGTTGGTGGGGGCTTCCTCCTTGTTGGGACAGCCATTGTTGAAGAGGCCTCTCCATCTGGCCCGGGGTGTAGAGGACCCGTGAGGACCACCCAAGTGCAGAGGCGGTTATGGGGTGGGCCGGGCTCTCCAGCCCTCGCCTTCACCACCCTGGAAGCCTGTTTTCTGGTTTGGCTTTGGGGTTCCCTCTCTGCAAGCAAACAACCAACTCAGACAAAAGCAACCAAGACCACACCTCAGGTAGGTGGCCCCTGGGTCACCCCAACCACAGCTCCCGGAGCAGTTTCCAGGTACCCGGCCTCCACCATCTATTCACCCACCTCCTGCCGATGTGGACAACTTTAGAAATAAAGTACCAGGGACTCACGGGCCAGCAGGCAAGAGCCCAGGTGCCCCCTGGGAAATGCCACCACCCACCCTAACAGCAGGGTGGGTCCAGCTCCTAAAGACTCCTCTGGACACTTGCTGCCTTTCTCGAAAGACCAGGCGCCCTCTTGGTTTCTTGATAAATCCCCAGGTTCTGCCCCATGATTCATGTAGATGGGAGTTTCCCCAGGTCTCGGTCTTTCTGTCTGACTGGGCCACAGATGAGTGCCCCAACCAACCAGGCAAACAGAATTGGACTTTTAGGATCAGAGGCAGCCAGCCTGAGATGGAGTTGGGGGGAGGGGCGGGTGTTTGGACCCAGGCAAGGGGGTGAGGACATTCCAGGGGAGGTGAACTGTTTATTTCCTGGGAGGCTGAGACGAAGAACAGCTCTTCCAGATTTTGCTGGAAATGCACACCAGAGCTGCCAATGGGGTTGAGGATGGGGGCTTTCGGGGTGGGCAAGTCCCAGGATCTGGCTTTGGATTAGTGGTTAGTGCAGGTCAGAGGAGGAGCTGCCTCCACAGGTGTCACATCAGGTGCCCACAGTGGGGACAGCATACCCACCCCCCCCACCCCCCACCCCCCGCCGCACCCTGCGGGATTAGTCCCCTCCCACTCCCTGCCTGCAGCTTCCCCTCCGCCTCCCCCTCCCCTCCTCTCTCCGTCCCAGTGCTCCCGGAGCAGTGGCCTCTCTCCCTCCCCGTGCAGTGGCCTCAGGGTGGCCAACCACCCGATCCCAGGAGATTTGACAGCAAAAGCACTGTGCCCTTCCCCTCTATCCTCTGGGTCAAAATGCAGCCTCCAGGGCAGCTCAAAGCAGTCCCAGGGTCTCTGAAAGGGCTGGGGACCCCAGAGTCTGAAATTTAGCTGCTGGTTCACCAAACTGGCCCAGTCTCTGAGCCTCTGCACCGAACCCCCCCCACCCCATCACCTACCTGAAACTGATCCAAGGCACCAAGGTCTGTTTGTGTGTGGGGGGCTGCCCGCTCCCCAGAATCTGGCCCACGATGGTTTTGATTAGAGGAGATACCCCAGCAGAAAGCATCCGAGAGATACCTGGAGACTCGCTGTGGCCTCCCCAGTGTGTCCCCTCCCCTCCCCCGGACCTGAGGGACTGCCATGCCCACGGCACGGACCCCGGGTGCTGTCCTTTCTGGAAAGCAAGTTCCAAAGCTTGGGTTGGGGCCTGCTTGGCAGAGGGAGGCTTAGACAGAAAGCGGGACGCCTCTGTCCCAAAGCAGCCACGGTCTCCAGACCCCAGCCGGCTCTGCGTGA